TACACTTTTCATGGCGTATTTTGTAGCAGAGCTGGTAACTGCAATGCGGCAACAGCGCATTGCAGTGAAGAAGAAAATGCACAACGGGTGAATGCGCCACCCTTACACAGTAGCGAACCGGTTCATATTTTATAGATAGCAAAGGAAACTGGCTATTAGTTTTCTGTTGATAGCGTCGTTAATAAATTAGCCGAAAGACTTCCATTTGCAGTTGCAGAACAACGCAAAGCTTTTCTCGTTTTTCTTGTTTCCAGCACAACAGTTTTCCGAACAACTTATCTGCCTTGTTGGTTACTGCCTGAAAAAGTACGGATACAAAGGCAGAATGTATGAACTCTACAAACTAGGTCGCTATAGAACTGATTGCAAGCTACTTGAGCAAGGGTATAGGAAAAATTGGAGACAAGCAGATACTTCTCTTGAATCGACCTTTCTTCTACCTATTTTCTATTCGTTAATTATCATAATAATAAATACGTAATACATATATGGAGACATATAGGGTTGCAGGAGCTTATACCTCAATTTTTAACTTGACAGCTGCTGACCCTTAGGCCCGTATCGTCAGTCCTCCCTACAATTGTAGGGCGCGTTTATGGCCTCCTTGATTGTCATTCCCTTTCTCTCCTTCAAAAATTTCTAGATTACACTTGTGTCAGCGTCAGCGCTCTCCTACTGTGAAGATTTATTTTCCTTTTAAATTGTAGGAAATTTCAGGCTGATAAAATATGATATAACTCAAAAGCAAGCACAATTTGATGCAAATAGATGTCTGTGACATAACCTCAAAATAGAGTTCTGACACGGGGAAGTAGAAAACTATGACAATCAAGGAGGCCATAAACGCGCCCTACAATTGTAGGGACGACTGACGATACGGGCCTTAGGAGAGTAGATTTTATACAGCATGAACAATACTTTATGCACTTTTTGTTTTTTTTTAAGTTACTCCGACCTCAACTGAAAATTTATTTGTACGCCTCTAAGTTTAGCTTAACACAGCTTTTCTAAGTATTAATATAACATAATATACATAATAAATAATATTAAATACATAACCTTTTTTTGACAATAGTTTGGTCAATCAGCTCTTTTCGGGTGCTGTTTTCTAATGAATGCCTGAGGGCCGGTTCTGAAAACGTCTTACAGGTGAGGTACATATTCTACATTTTCTTCAGAGTTAAGCAAGAAGATGAGTATTCGGACCTCCTAAATATCAATGCTGGAGTACCTCAGGGGAGTGTTCTAGGTTCGGCACCCTGGTCTGTATATATCAGATATTCCTGCTAAACCAGCTTGGGGTATTTTCTCCCACTCGTTTACCAGCGTCTCTTCCAACGCAGCCACAGTTTTAAATTTTCCATAGTTCTTCCTAAGCCTTCTTCCTAATGTATCCCACATGTGCTCAATGGGGTTGATATCTCGACTCATTGGCCGCCAGGCTAGTACTTGAATTCCAACATAGTTGAGGTATTGCCTAATCATTCTAGCTATATGCAGCCGAGTATTATCTTTTACTAAGAGAAAGCTTTCTCCTATAAAGGGCATATTATGAGGAAACATATATTCTTCCAAACACTCTGTAATGTACCTGTCGGCCGTAAGGTGTCCTCCTCGTAGCGAAACAAGATCTGTGCGGGATTCCAGAGAAATATAGTCATATACTGTCGCTCCTTCACCACCAAATTGCACAACTTTGAGCATAGCGTTCTCCACGCCTTCTCCACACTCTTTGTCGCCCATCAGGTGAATATGTTGTAAAACGAGACTCTTCTGTAAAAAGAACGTTTTTCCAGTCGTTCGTATCCCAATCTGCATTAGCTCGAGGAACTACCAAGCGCTGAATTCGATTACCTACATCCAATAGAGGACCTGCAGCAGGTACACAAGATGATAGGTTTCCTTGTCTCAACCTTCGGCGTACGGTATCCGGTGATATTATGGTATCATGAACATCATCCAATCTTCGAGTCAAAGCTATAGCAAAACTGTTCTTTCTCGAAGAGCTAGAACTTGAAGTCTCAGCAACCGATCTTTAACTGCGTTTGTTGTTTTCCGTCTTCCTTGCCCAGGTCTTATTAACCCATTTGATCCCACTGTACTCATATGTACACTGCCTTTTTTTAACTGCCAGCGCCGTCTGTTAAGACCAAATTAAAGTCTAACATTTCAGATCTCTTCCTCACATATCAAGGAACGCATATTTGACTTCAGCAAAGATAGGTGTCATCTTAACAGTTGTCAAAAATTCAATTGCGTTCCATTGACAAGTTGCAGCCTGTTGTGCTGGATTTGTGTTGACACATTTTATGTTTTTAACTTGTTTTTTTTGTGTTTTTCGTATCTTTGGATTGTAAGGTGAGCATAAAATAGTATTGTTATATTATATATTATTATATAATATAATAATTGCCAAATAATGTTCCAGGCCAAGTGGATCTCCACTTTCAAGATGGAAGTATATCCTCTGACGACAGCGATGATGACGTGCCTTTATCTTATTTCTGGCCTTCGAAAAAAAAAAATTGATGTGTAACCGCTGCCCTCATGGAAGCAACATTATGTAGATATATCAATGCCCAACGCTACATATGGTTTTGAAAAACGTCAAAATGACATAAAAGTGGAACTGAAAAATAAAGCAGCGGTTGAAATTTTTTAGAAACTTTTGATGAATATATTATTGAACTGATACAAGAACAGTCGATTTTGTATATCAGGCAAAAAAATAACCAAACGTTTACCGTTGATAAAGATGAAATAAAAATATTCATTGCAGTTCTACTTTTTAGTGGTCACCACAGGCTTCCAAGAGAACGCATGTAGTGGAGCTTGGACGAAGATGTTTCTGTGTCCATTATTTTCAATTCGATGTCCAGAAACCGGTTCTATGAAATAAAAAACATCTTCATCTTGCCGATAACTCGACGCTTGACAAAGAAGATAGGATGTATAAATTGCGACCGCTTATAGATAAATTGAATCAGAATTTTCAACAATGGGGTATTTTCCACCAAAATTTATCTACTGACGAGGCAATGATAATATATTTTAGACATCATCCATCAAAGCAGTTCATAAAAGGAAAGCCTATCCGCTTTGGTTTCAAAGATTCGATGTTATGCAGTTCCACTGGATATTGCTACAAATTTGAAACTTACTGTGGTGCCAAGAAAAATTAAGATAATGCGTTGACAAGTAAACTTCCATTAGGCTCAAAAGTTGTATTAGGACTTTTGGAATGTGCTAAGACTCCATCAGACCACATTGTCTACTTCGACAACTATTTCAGCAGTCACGACTTGCTGACATCTTTGCAAGATAAGGGATTTAGAGCGACGGGCCCGATTCGTGATAACAGGACCAAAAAGTGTTCTTTCATAGAAACCAAATTGTGGAAGAAAAAGGATAGAAGATATTTCCAAGAAATTTATGACGAAAGTAATTCCCTTCTGCTAGTTAGGTGGAAGGACAATAACACTGTTACTATGATTTCCAACTTTGACACTGCGGCACCGCATTCCAAAGTGAAACGATGGTCATCAAGAGAAAAACAAAAAATTGAATGCTTATAGGATTCATTTGCTAGTGGATGACACAAAAATGGACTTACTTATGGTTCTTCGAACTATTACACGTCACTACCTCAGGTGTTATCCCAAATCATCATTCACAAAAAGGTAACTCGGAACTGTACCAACAAGTATTTTACATAGTGAAGGTGGACACTATCCCGGAAAGCTAGAAAAGCAGCTAAGATGTCGTGTCATCTAAGAAGCCGATGGAGGTGTATAAAATGCAATATTACCTTATGCATTGAGCGAGAGTGCTTTATAAAATATCACACAGCAGACCAGTTTATAAATCTTGTATCATTTGTTCTAATAAATTTGCGTTTTTTTATTATTATTATTTCAATCAAAACTTCAAACGCCCATTGTACTCAAATGAGTACTCCAATTTTTTTCACAAAATATGACAAAAAAAATTAAATTTACAATGTTTACTACATTATGACAGTGAAATCAACCTAGAAATAGAAAAAAATGGTTGTCTCAAAAAAAAGTTGTCTTGGGATCAAGTGGGTTAAATAAGAACCAGTTTCTCTAAATCTTCGTATCGCAATACCGTACTGCGTGGAACGGCAAGCACTTCTGCGTTATACCGGATATGACGGCCATCATCTTGTTAAGCTACATCTTGCGCTGCTTATTCCGGTGTCATTTTTGTTGAGTATTGCTTGACAAGAATCTTTTTGTCATGTCACAAAAATGCTAAGAATTTCTTACTCGGCAAAGCCTGCTTGAAATGACTTTTTGTTTATGGCTGTGATTCGCATGATTTTCTTTAAATAATTGAGATATTGACACGAATCAAAAAAAGAACTGCTGCGAAAAGTTGAGGCTTAAAATTCTCATACGAAGACACATTATTCAGTAATCCAATGGTTCCACAGGGTGTTCAGAAATTTATTAGTTATTTAATATTTAATTTGAACAATATTCTGTTTTTCCGGTTAATTTGGCGTGGCAGTGTACATTTCATTGAACTGTATCAATCTAAGCTCATGTATCTTTGCATAGGATGTTATCAGTCTTTTGGTTGAAATCTTTGTGGGACTATTACCACAAGTGTTGAACTCACTGCCTTCAAAACAAATCAATATGCGACTCACACCGGAGAAAATAGTTTCATAAAACTGTTGCTTGCAACAGACTTATAATCTAGTAGAACAATGAAATTCATTAAGCGCATTTTTACGAAAGCAGGTCCCATAAAATGCTTCCTTGGGATTCTAATTGCACGTTTAAAGTGAGAATTTCGAATTCAACGAGTTCTTTTGAATTCCAATAGTGTCGGCAGCTGTTGAAAAAAAAATTAAGAAGAAGAAGCTTTGACTTCTAGTAGATGTACTTCAATTTGATAGGATTTCACTCATGTAAGTTACGGATGATCATAGACTTTCCTTTTTTTCTTATTTCGCAGACACAACCACATACGGGTATCCTTCGTCATGAAGATGTATTCGTTACTGTTGTAACTGAGGGAGGATTTTTCTATATGCAGTTTTTCAAATGCAAATGAATAAATCTAAATAAATGATTTATTTTATGACTTACATAGACGCATTGCGGGCAACGTGTTCAGATTCGACTCCCCAATTATGAAGAGAAAACGATAAATGTGGATAAGTATATAACACCTAACCCAAAGAGACATCTATAAAAAATTGTTGTAATAAGTTCGTAATTACTAAGTGTTTTATATTGTCTCTTAGTATACAGGGTGTTTCAGTTAATTGCTGAATAACTTTAAGATTCGATAGAACTTTTAAAAATAATGCATGAAGTCTATATAAACATGGGTCGAAAATTGCGTGGCTTCCGAAATACAGGGTGTTTAAATTTACTTTCTAAAATAGTTTTTTTTATATTTCGAACAATATTTGATGTATAATAGTGAAAATTGGTATACAAGGTTCCTTTGGTACGACAAAACGAACCACGGGCATATTTTTACTGTAGCCGCTAGAGGGCGCTCTCTACTGTACCTGTAGTGTATTAAAATGACCGAAAAATTTTTCTTAGTGCAATTTTTTGCTTTTCGAATAAAAAACTGATTCTTCGTACTTTTCAACATAAAAAAGCTCTCTTGTGAATTTTCGTTATAAATAGCCGTTTTTGAGATATTTCGATTTTTAAGGTTCGATGCATTTTTAATTATTTATGATAAAATAACGTTAAAAGGTCAGTATCTCGATAATTTTTAGAAGTAGGCCGTGCCTGCCAATATTTTTGAAATTGAAAGCAGAATAAGGTTAAACGTCAATTAGTTGACAGTTAGTTTTGTTGTCTGTTGAAACCTGAAACGTTTTTTTGCAATTGTGAGTGCACGAAATTTAGTTTATTTTACCTGTTTTTTTTTCTGTAAGTTTTTTAAAAATGCCATTTTTATTCTCCAATCAAGAGTTAGCGGATATTCATTTTGTGTATGGCTTTGTAAATGGAAACGCAGCAGAAGCAGCCAGAGAATAAGCACGAATATTTCCAAACAGACGACATCCAACTCGCTCAGTATTTGTAAGAGTGCATCGCCAAATAGTTGAAAATGGTTTTGGAAATCTCCAAAGGGATCAAAACATAAATGTTCGTCAGCGCAGATTTACCCGTATGATTCTGCGTGAGTTTGATAGAGATCCGACCACAAGTTAGTGTTATGAGAGTTTCTGGTGACTCGGGAATTTCAGCAAGTCATGTTCACCGTGTTCTTAGAAATGACCATAGACGTCCTTTCCATTTGCAACCTGTGCAAAGACTACAGCCAGAGGACGGAGAACGAAGAATCACATTTTGTCAGTGGATTCTTGATAGAACTGACGTGGAGTGGTAAATTTTCATAATCAACATATTTGGTCGCATGAAAACCCGCATGCAGTTCGGGAAAGAAATTTTCAGCATGAATTTAGTGTGAACGTGTGGATTGGTATCTACCGTAATCGACTATTTGGACCCTACCTTTTGCCTGCAAGGTTAAATGCTGCGACCTTCTTGGAATTTTTAAAGGCTGAACATGCAAATATGTGGGATGATGTTATGTTAGATTTAAGAAGATTGGCCTGTTTCCAGCTTGATGGTTGTCCAGCTCATTATTCGAGAATAGTAAGGAACTGGCTGGACGAAAATTACCCAGAAAGATGGATCGGTCGTGGAGGATCAGTATGTCCTAAATCCATTAGATTTCTTTGTGTGGGGATTTCTAAAAGGAAAAGTGTACCAGACTCCCGTAACCACAAGAGATATGCTAATAGACAGAATCACGTTCGATCATTCGTAGATGTGAATTGTGTATTGAAGAATTGGGTTTACATGTCGAGCAACTACCTTAGAATTTGTATGTTTGTCCTAACTATCCAATAGCATTTTAGTTGTAAATAATTAATTTGATTTGTTAAAAATAATATTGGAAAATTAAACAAATTGATATTCTTGTTTTTTTGTTTTTTTTTGGAGATAGGAATTATTGCTGTGCTTAAAAACGCAATCCAAACGATCATCTTAATTACTTGTATTGCCCAAATCGAAAATTTAACAAAAAATATTATTTTCCCATAAATAATTAAAAATGCATCGAACCTTAAAAATCGAAATATCTCAAAAACGGCTAACTATAACGAAAACTCACTTGAGAGCTTTTTTATGTTGAAAAGTGCGAAAAATCAGTTTTTTTATTCAAAAAGCAAAAAATTGCACTAAGAAAATTTTTTCGGTCATTTTAATACACTACAGGTACAGTAGAGAGCGCCCTCTAGCGGTTACAGTAAAACTATGCCCATGGTTCGTTTTGTCGTACCAAAAAACCCATGAATACCAATTTTTGCTATTATATATCAGATATTGTTCGAAATATTTAAAAAAAACTATTTTAGAAAGTAAATTTAAACACCCTGTATTTCGGAAGCCACGCATTTTTCGACTCATGTTTATATAGACTTTATGCATTCATTTTAAAAGTTCTATCGAATCTTAAAGTTATGCAACAATAAACTGAAGCACCCTGTATATTGGTGATTAGCGGTACCAATAGATCTCAAGACAAAAGGCCGCCACAATGCCATTTTATATTCACGTTCTATCATCAATACGTAGAAAATATCCCATGGAAATGTTAAGGATACTGCGCTTCTAGCATTCACATTCATTCACATATTTTTCATGTACTATTTACCCTAGAAATACAGCACATTTTTTTAAATTACCATATATTCTTCTAAACCCCATATAGTAAGAGGAGGCCTGTACAGGAACAATGACAAATAATGTGTTGACATTGAAACATCAGCCTGTGCTACGCACTGCTGGTGCGGAACTTTACGATTTTGAAATTGGGGGCACAAGGAAAGTCTAAATCGCTCCGACTCGAACTTTGTTTCCCTCTCGCAGCCAATCAGTTTACAGCCTCATAAAAAATTACGGGCCAATTCCCAATAAAAATTTATAAGGCATTTCTCTTTCAGAGAGGTTCCAAGGTTCAATCACAGCATCAGCCAGATTCTCTGCGACACGACTTTCATTAAGTCCTGCCAATTTTATAGGGTATGAGTTGATATCGCGATAAGATATCTCAGGATGGATTGCACTGCTGATTGAGGTGTTTGATAGAAAAGTCGCGTAAAGGGAATGTACTGGCAGTTTTACACGCTACTAAAAGACACATTGTTGTGAGTAAAGAACGGTGTGAAACTTAAATAGGGTTTTAGAGTGTTCAGTTTTTTGATAAGTGTTAAATTTTATTCTGTAACAGGTTGGCCGTTATTGCATTAGTTAGTGAAACGTAGTTAACGATAACTAGTCAAACACAGTAATTACTTAGCTGAGACGGCCATGATGAAATTCGCTAATTACGACGTCAGTCAGTACTATCTCCAAAATAGACCGGAATTCGAGCGGACATTCCAACGATATTTTAAAGTTCATGTTATTAAGAATTTGGTGCGGTTGGAGCTGAGCAACGGAAGCCGTTAAAAAGACGTTAATCAGGTGGTAGCGATTTAAGAAAAAGATGTAAGGTAAGCTACCTATTTACTATCTTACGCTGAGAAGACGTCTTAAGGTCGGCGTCAATTTACTTGGTTGATTTTACTCTTAAGTTGTATATTTGGCATTTGAAAACATATCAGAAGAATCTTTAAAAGCAATGACACTTCTAACACTGTTCAATGCATTTCATCCTCAAGAGTGTCAAACTGGAGATGTTCAAGTAAAAATTTGACACTCGGTTGGGGTCATGTGGAGTCGAACTACGTGGCTACAAAATGAAACAACTGTTCATTGAGGGTTAAAGAAAACCAGTTCATAAACTCTCTAAGATAAAAGAATTTAAATATTTTCTAAGAAAATAAAAGACTGGGTTGTTTAACGGCCGTATCCACCAATTTAGCGTTTGCCAGACTGTTACTTATCAGTTGTACCAAATATAACAGTCTGTTAAACAATAGTGGTATTCTCAAGGACTTTTCGGCTTCTGATTACAAACTGACTGTCATACAAGAATCTTAAATTTCTTCAAGTTGGTGCCTTTCGACAAAAAACGAGAGAACCACATGTAACCTCACTTTCTAGCTGCTGTGTGTTGTCATGTGGTTTGTCATTCACAGTGTCAGTTTTGTAATGGTTTTGCATCATGGAAAAGTCATAAAAAAAAGATCAGCTAAATATACATCAAGAGACAATAATTTCCTTGGTTGAAAAATATCGAAGTATAATTGAAAATAAAAAGACTAACGTGGTATTTAACAAGCAGAAAAATGGGTGTTGGGAGAAGCTTGTCTGGGTATTCCGTTCAAACAACTGGCCTCAGAACTGGCCAACAACTAAAAAGCAAAACAACCTAAATATGAAGACAATGTATCATTATTATCAAAGAATTTGGACAAAGAAATTAACTTGTTCTCTTTTTTCAGGTCAATTTGTTAAAAACGGATAGTGGGGTATCTATTCCTCGAACTACTACATTTGATGAACAAGTTTTAATCCTTTTAGTTATATTAAATAAGGGTTTATGAAGTATTTATCACTAAATTGAATTACTATTTCTGTTCCCATGAAGATACAAGTGCCGATGATAACTTACAGGCAAAGTTTTTCGTTTTGAATGTAATGTACATAAAATAATTTCCATAAGAATTTTATTTTAAACGGGTAGACACTTTGAAGACATAAATCTTTACATAATAATTAGTTTTTTCATGATAATATAAAAATTGATGGAATTATGGAGCTCCTTGTAGTATTTTGAGATCCAATTCGGACCTGGATCTCTTCAATTTGTTCCATTTCAGGTCCATTCTCAAAAAAATCGATAGTGTCATTCTGTTCTAAGCACACGTTGTGCAGCACAGCAGTGGCCACAATAACCTCACACATAGTTTCAAGTTTTAGCCCCCATATCAAGATTTGGTTTTCCTTTGAGATTGGCTGGTTCCTTTCATTTATCGGTTCTGTAACATTTTGCAATACAATTTCCAGTCGCCTAAATGTATTTTTATTTATTCTAAATCTTCTTTTCTAGTTCAATCAAGGGCAACCTCCTAGTTCTTACAATTCTTTCTCTCAGGATATCTTCAATGTCACTCATGTCTGTTTCCGAAGATTCTAATATGTCGATAATATCAATTCTACTGAGGCTATCCATTTTGATGCAAGCCCTTACTCGCTGTTCGCTGACTGTATTTTGTGAATCACTTCTACGAAATCTCCAGGCAAAATAAAGTCGGGATGACACTTTTGACTTTTTAGTATTCAACAGTCAGTTAGTGGTTTACCAGTCCATCATCGCGCTGTTAACTTAACCATGACTTTAACAGACTGTTTGCTATGATGTGTTGACTGTGAATACTAAAAATGGATTTAACAATGTGTTAAATAATTTAACAGTCTGTTAGGGAATGGTGAATACGGGCGTAAATGAGTTACTTTGTCAGCCAGATAAGTAACTATCAAGGATGAAGTTTAACTGATATAGTGAATAAAAGTTCAAATTTCAATTCATCGAGTATGGAAGGAGAACTAGAGATATAAATTACATAAGCCTTGTAAGATCAGGAGAGTGAGATAGTTTCAGTATCAACAGTATTAGTGAGGTTTTAAAAGATAGGATTTTGGTCAATAATGTTGTCGCATGTAAACGTCCAAGGAAATGGGGGACCTTGTCGCATTCTGTAGGAATTCTGAACTCGACCTTGTAAATTATTACGTAGAGTCAAAAATTCTTACCCAGTGTTACTTTTAAAATGTACATAATACCACTGTTGATATATACTAAAGTCAAATAAATGGTATATTCCCTTCCACACTCGCTGCAAAGCTCCTCCGCCCCCCATTTTTGCCATTAAAAAATTTTTTAAAATGTCAAAAAACGAAGTTGGGAGAATTTTAGTATTGCCGTAGCTTTGGATAAAATAACGCTCGTATTTGAAAAAATAACTGGACTAATGCAGGAAATTGACTTTTTAATGTTTTTGCTTTTGAACTATTGATTGTCAAATACCAGACCTTGAAGGTGGCCTCCTTTCAAAGGATTTACTAAATAGGATTTTCTCCAGAAATGCTTAAGCTGCTAAAATTAATGCAAACATATCGAAGCATGTGTTAAATCAGTATCTAATCATAATTTTCACATGGATTATTCAGTACAACGCCAACATACATGCCTTGTTTGGGCTGTAACCAGTAACGGTAGCGATTAAGGCTTTCAGCGCATCGTTACCGAATGCCTCCTTATCGGTATAACATCTCGTATCGGAAATCCTAAGCGCAAAGGTATGGAAAAAAGTATGTGTGAAATATGTCTAGTACGTCTGTAAAATTATGAAAGTTAGAATCGTATAAATATATGAACGCCTTAAAATTAAGGTCTACCCTCCCTCACTGCTACAACCCAACCCTTAATTTTTAACCCCTACAATTTTTTTTTTGTAAAACATCGGGAACCAAGAGGATTTGACTTATATCTACGACATTGCTCTCCCTGGACTATTCTATATGAAACTATACCACAATCTGGTGAGTCTGAACTGCTGAACACATTCATCACTTTCCGAAACCCAAAACCGCGGCATGCCAATTTATACTAGTAAATATACATATACACAAACACAAACGCTCGCACACGCAAACATATACATTGGAACAATCAATCCGGACTTTCTACCATCCCCTCCCTATCCGAACTTTCCTAAATTACTCTCGGTCGCTATTGTTGAGTGCAAAATCGACCGCTGCGTCTTTTGTTTCACTCATGGACTATCATACTAACACTGTGGTCTGTTTCTATACAAACAAGTCAGTGTACAGACAAGGGATTAGTTAATATGAAGTTTAATTGCCTTATTATTCGAATATAGCTTTTAGTATTTTGCGATTACAGTTTTCATCTCTTAGTTGGGTCAGAATGAGCGTGGAAGAGGCACTAGTTAGGCCATGGCCGTCTAGTAATATTGTTAAAAATGGTGAAAGTTCTGACTTATAGTTATGAATTTCGGCAATGACTCTTACACCATAGTTTGAAATATTACCTAATGGTATATGATATGGTATCACAGCTAATTGAATATATTTTGAAATATGTGTCCAATATCGATGCATTGCGTGTAAAACAGAGCTCCTATTAGGCAAACAAATGATCTATGAATTATTATTTCTTGATATTAGGAAATCTTCCAGCCAGCTGTGGCATGCTGCCCTCTTATGCAAGCTTTATCCTATGCCCTCCCAAAGAGGCTTTGCAGATGGGTGACTGACTTCCTCTCAGGGTGTTTCTCAGAAATTGGTCTTGGTTATTAAACATTGCTTCTAACACATGTCAACGACCTTTTCTCCTGATCCCGATCAAATCCGATGCACAGCTTTGGTGATGACAGCACTCAACACGAAGGCATCCACTGTGTAGGCTAGTAGGGTCTATGCTTGGGGATGCAACAATCTGGTCCAGTTGAATGCTTGCAAAGCACATTACTTTACCTTAACTGACAAGAAGCCCGTTAGCAACCACCTGGTTCAGATGGATGTCCCAAATCAACTAAGAAGCCGTTCTTTTCAGCTGGTCGGAGTCTGGATCATCGAGGCACCCGGCACGAACACATCTGGTTAATCGCAGGGACTGCTGGGAAAAATCTAGGCTATGTATTTGGGGATGAAAAATAGGACCTCCTAATTCTGTACTACGCCCAGATAAGATAAGAACCAGCCTTGATACCGCTTACATGTTTGGGGTGCTGCCACCCAGACTAATTGTTCATACTCGATGTTGCTTAGGCCCGTATCGTCAGTCGTCCCTGCAATTGTAGGGCACATTTATGGCCTCCTTGATTGTCATAGCATTCTACTTCTCCGTGTCAGAACTCTACTTTGAGGTTATGTCACAAACATCTATTTGCATCAAATTGTGCTTGCTTTTGAGTTATGTCATGTTTTATCAGCCTGAAATTTTCTACAATTCAAAAAGAAAGCATATCTTCACAATAGGAGAGCGCTGACGCTGACACGGGACAAGTGTAGTCTAGAAATTTTTGAAGGAGAGAAAGGAGTATGACAATCAAGGAGGCCATAAACGAGCCCTACAATTGTAGGGACGACTGACGATACGGGCCTTAGAAATGGATGTCCGACTGATCGATGTACTTCTCCGACTGACAGTCTTGGAACCCTTTCATACCGGTCTGGCGGTCTTCTACAACTTTGTCAATGGGCTTTTCTTCTCGGAGCTCTGTTCCATGATGCAATCGCGCATCGAGCCTGCCAGCCAGACCCGCACCGGTATCATGTAAAAATCCTGCAAAACGTCAAAAAAAAATAAGATGTCAACTTGCAGACTAGGTAGTTTTTAGGACGCAAACAGTCATTCCTCGTTTGCTCACTAGGATCGTTGTGAACGCCCATCTATGGAGGAATCACTCAACTAAACTACGCATTATTGGTTGCACAGTTTTGTGAGGCTGAGTGATCCGGGTCTGTAGTTTTTATCTCTGAGAAGACAGTTGGTTGAATAGCAAGATCGCATCTGGATGATTATGTGTATTGGTCTGCATGTGTATAAAATCAGTGATATTTGCTGTGTGAGAAAATCATTACTGAATATGCCAAATATGATGGGTTATTTATATGTTGTGCTCTCTGAAGGGAGGTTATGTCCAAGGTTATAAATTACAAAAAACTAAGGAGAATTACGGGAAATCATCATCGCGGCCGCGTTGTGTGTAATTACTGTTAGCATGTATATGGCTTGTAATTCGACAGTGTCCAGTGAATATAATTATTCCTTATCTCATTTTTGAAATTCAGCAAATTTGCATATGCAATTTCCAGAATGGATAAGAAAAAGTGGGTGCGCAACTATTTTCTAGCTTTGAATCTCAATTAAGTGTATCTGAGACAAGAACCCAATGTTATTGTCATCAACACATACAACTTACAGCTTAGACCTCCAGTAATGCTATCTCAGAAGCAGATTTTACATCGCATCAGAGCCAAAGATGGATAACAAGCCTCATGACGTTTAGGCAACACGTACAACTAAGTGCTAGAATAAAATCTTGTAGAATAACCTACATAATGTCAAAAAAAACAGCATAGTGTCAAAAAAATCGGCATAATGTCACTTTTCAAGATACGTGATATCCGTGCCGCTATGCTTCTGACTCCCATCTAAAGTATTTCCAACTTCAACAAAAGAAAATCGGATTAACAATGTGACATTCAACTCTTTTCATCAGTTGCAGTGCCTGTATTTTTAGACTTCTGCCTATCAGTATAAAAGAAAAATATTCTGCTTCAAGAAAAAATATCACACCCCGTGTGTTCGCAAACAAACCACGTTTCGGGTATCTTGCACATAGACGTGCGATATTCAAATAACGATTACAGCTTCAATCAACTCGAGTTGCAGTGCATTCAGTCTCTATCGAATTTAGTGTCTCTACGCGTAAGACAAACTCGCCATAGTTTCGGAAACTTTACCCGCTGCCCTGAAATTGCTTCCTTTTCCACCTGATTTCCATTTTGAAAGTGTCTCAGACAACGTTGCATCAGTTCCAGCATACATTCTAGCGGAGAAGGTTGCACGACGCTCCAGCAAAAGTTTGTGTAGAATGTTTTAAGAGTCACTATTTCAACAAAAGGAATCGAAATAAAACTTCTTTCTTTGATTGACTTAGGCTTATGTGGATTCTTATAGATCTTGTTTTTACTTTCATATAGTAGAGATAGAAAGCCAACAGTATTTATAAAAATAGATCTGAAAGATTATAGCGCCATCGATGAGATAGTGCAGAACAGAAAAAATAATTTACCAAGTGCAAAATATGTAGAAAATGGGTCCGAGTCGATTTGTTTAACAATTCAGTATGCTATATTTATCGCATTTCTGATCAGCATTTATCATGTCATTAAAGTTTGCCCGATTCTGGCCCTACAAATAAATGCTGAATGGACTAGTTTACTG